GAATTTAGAGTAAACACAGATGATGACCTGAGGATTGTTCTTCTGGGCAAAACTGGAGTTGGTAAAAGTACAACAGGAAACACAATCATAGGAAGAAAAGCTTTTACAGCAGAAACATCTCACCAACCAGTGACTAAAGAGAGTCAGAGAGAAACATGTGAAATCAATGGCAGACAGGTCACTGTGATCGACACTCCAGGAGTGTTTGATACGGAACTCACTGAAGAGGAGATCCAGAGAGAAATCAGACACTGCATCTCCATGATTCTGCCTGGACCACACGTGTTTCTCCTACTGGTTCCACTGGGACGATTCACTAAAGAGGAGGAAACATCCGTGAAGATCATCCAGGAGACGTTTGGGGAAAACTCTCTAATGTTCACCATGGTGCTCTTCACCAAAGGAGACTTTCTAGGAAACAAATCCATTGAAGAGTTTCTGGGTAAACCTGGATCTCCTCTGATGAACCTGATTGAAGCTTGTGGACACAGATATCATGTGTTCAACAATACCCAGCCTGAAGAGCGAACACAAGTGTCTGATCTACTGGAGAAGATAGACAACATGGTGAAGGCCAACGGAGGAAGCTTCTACTCATGTAAGATGTTCAGAGAGATGGAGAGAGAAAAACAAGAACAACAGATGAAGATCCTGATGGACAGAGTCAGAGAAACTGAAGAAGAGATGAAGAAACTAGAAGAAGAGAAAGACAGAATGAAGATGATGATGGAGGAAGAGCGACAGAATCAGGAGAAAGAGAGAAAGAGGAGAGAAGAAGACCTGAAGAGAGAAATAAGAGAAGGAGAGAAACATCAGAGAGAGATGAAAGAGGAGATGAAGAGAGAACGAGAGACATTTAGACACGAAATAAAGGAAATCAAGAGAGAAAAAGAGAAAATGCAGATCAAACATAAGACAGAAACAGACAGACTGATGAAGAGAATAGAGGATGAGAAGAAGAAAAGAGAAGAGGAGAATACAGAAAGAGAAGAGAAATATAAAAGACAGATCAGGGAGAAAGAGGAGAAAGAGAGAGAGATGAAAGAGGAGATGAAGAGAGAACGAGAGACATTTAGACACAAAATAGAGGAAATCAGAAGAGAGAAAGAGAATATTAAAACTTTACATGAGAAAGAAATTGAAAGACTTGTGAACAAAACAGAGATTGAGAGGAAGAAAAAAGAAGAGGAATTCATAAGAATGGAAGAACAATATAAAAAACAAATCAAAGCAAAAGAAGAGACAGAGAGAGAGATGCAGGGTGAGATGAAGAGAGAACGAGAGAAATGGGAGAAACTGAAACAAGAGGAAAAGAAGAGAAGAGAAGAGGAGGATGATAAAAGAAGAGAGAAAGAGCAGAGAGATTGGGATGCGTTTAATGAAAAACTGATCAAAGAGAGAAACAGAACAGAAAGAGAGAAAGAAGATCTTCAGTCTAAACATGAAGAAGAAGAAAAGAAGATGAAGATCCAGATTGAACAACTAAAGAGAGAAAGAGAAGAACTGATGAAGAAACATGAGGAAGAGAGAAAGAGAATAGAGATGACAATAAAGAAAGAACGACATAATCAGGAGGAAGAGAGAAAGAGAAGAGAAGAACAGATAAAGAAACATGAAGAAGAGAGAGAGAGAATGAAGCTGATGATGATGGAGAAAGAACAACAGAATCAGGATAAAGAGAAGAAAATAAAAGAACTGATGAAGAAACACAAAGAAGAGATAAAAAGAATAGAGATGATGATAAAGGTAGAAAAACAGAATCATGAGAAAGAGAGAAAGAGGAGAGAAGAAGAGTTCAGAGAGAGAGAAGAGCGATATAAAAGACTGATTAAAGAGAGAGAGCAGAAGGAGAATGAACTGATAGAACAGATGAAGCTGGAGCGAATGCAGAAACAGAAACCAGAGGACAAACTGAAAGGAGAAGAAAAGAAGAACGCAGAAGAGAAACAGGAATCTGAACTTCACAAGAAACTCCAAAGTCCAGTTAGACAACAGACAACAGGTAAGACATGATTTTTTTAATGTAAGGAATTTTTTATATTCCTCTACACACACATATATTGAATATACATATTACAAATATGTCAATAATATTCTGTATTTTGAATGGAAATGGGGTATTGGAGGTGTTTTGGTGACTGTGTGTGATTCAGGAAAATTGGTGTTTAATTGGTAAATGTTTGTATGTTTTAAAAAAATATATTTTTGTTAAAAATATACAATAATTTAAATTTTTTTAGATGGTGTATTCAAATAATTTTAATGTTCGTTAAAGGTGTTGTGAAAAGTCAAAGTCTACACACACTGTAAAAATGCAGGGTTCCACACAATTTATTCATGTTGTCCCAACACAAATCGATTGAGTTAACTTAATTTTTTTATGTTCAATTCACATAAATTTGTTAAAAATTTTAAGTTGTCCCAATTAAATCTGAAGAATTGTGTTGTTTCAGCTCATTTTGAATAAGTAATTTGAACAAGTAAAAAAGAAAATTACTATGGTTGGTGATATTAACGTCCTGTTTGTGGCAAATAAGTATATGTGAGGGGTAAACTTTTCAAAATGGGTGGTGATCATTGGCCATTTTGAAGTCGGCCATCTTGGATCCAACTTTTGTGTTTTCTATAGTAAGAGGCTCATGTGACATATCAAACTTATTGGGAATTTCACAAGAAAAACAATTGTGTGCTTGGTTTTAACACAACTTTATTCTTTCATGAGTTATTTACACATTCCTGCTGCATTTTTACACCCCCTTGAGATCTCTTAGATCAAGTGATAAAATCTTCTGTTAATTCCTCAGTCAAGACTGAAACGCAGAGCTTTCCCTGTGGCAGGTCCTTGATTATGGGACACCTTGAGATTAGAACGGCTCCATCACTGTTTATATTTAAATTACTCCTAAAAAACATACCTGTTCAGCTTGGCCTTAAAAAAATATTTTAATAGTCCTTTCTACTGCTACATTTTAACAATTTTATTCAGTCGTTTCTCTTATTTTTATTCTTATTTTTATATTCTGTCTTTTTATTTTAATTTGTCTCATAATCAGAATTTTGGTCAGTCTTGTGAATATTTTTAAATGTGCTCTATAAATAGATGCACTTAAACTTGAATTTTCTTATCGTGTACTTTAAAAAATAGTCAAATTTTTAAAGTAAAAAATTTAGCCTAAAAATATAAACAAATATAAAAGAACAGCGTATAGTGCAGTTCAGATCACAATATGCTTGGAGTATCAGGGTAATTAAAATTAAGGATTATAAATTAGAATTATCTACACCAACAGCCTAGTGCTTATAGTGTGTCAACACATGGCACTAAGATGCTTACGGCAACCCAAATTCAATAGACCCTTTTTACAATGATGTCACTTCACTTTCCTCTATCGGCAACTTAGCGTATTTTTAGTTCCGGTTTACCTCTGAATTAATGGATGACGTCTCTGGAAAATCTACAACTGGAAATATTAACATTGCACAATCTGATTTAAGTCTTATAAAATATTGAACGCGTCCAAATGTTTCTCTTTCAATAGACTAGGAATAAGCTAATGTTTATAAAGGAAAGTATATGTTTGCAAACTTTTCACTTATCAATCAACATTTTTTTAATTTAGTTTTATTTAATTTCTTCAATAATATATTTATTTTTATTTTGATGCTGTTATGAATATAAATTTACATTATCTGTAATATGTACATTTTCTCTTTTTACCCGATATGTCGTCTATAAATGCAATCAGTTTCATCATTTATTGATCCATTAATGTTTTCTCCATTTGAATAAATTAACGCCTTTAAATGGGTGACGTCAGGCGTTGCTGAACTGCATTGTGGATCCGTCGGTGCCGCTTCAGAGGCGTTGCTTGCTGCAGAAGTTGGGACTAGCTCAACTTTTCAAGTGCTGACTGAAGCGTCAGCCAATCAAATCTCTGTATGCAAATACACCAGTTAGACAGTGGCCTATTGCTGACTGAATTTCATTGGCTGACGCTGCTATGATGATCGCTTCAGCCCCAACTTCAGTCAAGCATTTACGCTGATGCCCCGTGTGAATCGGGCGTAAGACAGTCTCCTACCGCCACCTACTTGGTGGGTTTAGTTTGATATCTGTACTACCTTTTAATTAATACTGTTACAAATGATTTCATAATCTAATAATACTGAATTAAAATGTCGTCATCTTAGTGTTATCTTAGTGCTATTGCAATTGTACATTTTTTATAATGATTTAGTTTAAGAGTCGCATACAACACTGTTAATCTATTTATTTGAATATTAAATAGACATAAAAGTTTTATGCTCTTGAATAAAGCACCTGTATAGAAAACATCAGAGAACTAAGCAGTAGAGTGTGGATAATATGAATGTGTTTGTGAATCAGCTGTCCACTTTATACAACCACAGTAAAACACCCACAGGTTTATTTATTACTTATTCTTCAGGACAGAAACAAATATTAAAAATAAATATGATATTAAAAAAACATTCAGCAGCCGTGTAAACATCTGAAATCTTTATTCGACAAATGTTGACAAGCGCACACCAACTTCATCTGCAGTAAAGACAGCGACACCAAGCAAGACTCTTGTTTAAAGTCACGTTTTTTTGGTTCAAGCTGAAATCTGGATGATCTGTGTTTTTTTTTTAGATGTCAGATGTCTCACCTTGAATGCAGCCAACAGAAAACAGCCGTAGTCACAATCTAACCATATCTATAATAAATATACAGCTGACAGTTCTCTATGGGGATTTCTGTATAGGCGGAATTAACAATGCACTTCGTGAAGTGAAACCGGACACTGCATGACGTCATATGAAAAGGGTCTATTCCCAGCTCGATGTCCTTTGCCGATTTTTCCCTGTTTCTCCCTATTTATTCCTGTGTCAACTCTCCGCTGTCAGATAAAGGCTATATTTTAATTATTAAAAATAATAATTTGCTCAAATCTTATGTAATTGATGTATGCATATAATCTATAGCAACTTCTTAAACTTTTCACTCTTTCAGGAAAAAGTGCACCAGATGTGCCAGCTGAAAGAAGAAAACCGAACACTACAACGATGTACCAGGTAAATAAATTTTCCATCTGCATTCTATTGTTACTGCATCTGAAAATGAGATGAATTTTAACCTACAGTGTGACGGTTTGTGTATTATAGACATTACAGAGAAAGAGAGATGATGATCAAGTTTGTCTTAATCATAATCTCCAGCTGCTGTTGATCGGCAGAAGTGCATCTGGGAAAAGCATCACAGGAAACATCATGTTCAATGATTCAGTGTTTGAGTCCAGAATAAGCTCTTCATCAGTGACGAGAGTCAGTCAAACACACACTGCATCTGTCAATAACCGCAGTGTGATGGTAGTCGATACTCCAGACTTCAGATTCTCCACACACACTGACTTTGACTCAGACTCTGAGCTGAAGAGAGCTCTTCAGTTATGTGTATCAGGAGCTCATGTTATTCTGCTCTTTCTGTCTTTAAGCACCTTCACTGAGCAGGACCAAGAGTTCATCCACTGGTTTGAGCAGAAGTTTGGTGCTGAAGCTCTCAGATTTACTCTGGTGCTCTTCACTCACGCAGATAAACCACACATGAGGACACTAGCAGAAATGATTAGGAGAAACACCCAATTATCTGATTTCATTAATCGATGCGGTCGCAGATATCATGAGTTTAACATTAAAGCTCCAGCAAACAGACGACAGGTGACTGAACTGATGGAGAAAGTAGAAAGACTGGTGTCTGAGAACTCACACTCCTGCTACACACTGGAGATGATGGAGGACGAGGAGAAGAGGAGAAAAGAGAAGGAGAGAAGAGAGAGGGAGGAGAAAGAGAGAGAACGTCAGATTACATTAGAGAGAGTCAGACAAGAGACAGAGATACGAGTCAGGAGAGAATATGAGGAGGCGAAACAGTGGCAAGAAGAGGAGAAGAAGAAAGAGAGAGAACGTCAGATTACATTAGAGAGAGTCAGACAACAGGCAGAGATACGAGTCAGGAGAGAATATGAGGAGGAGAAACAGAGGAGAGAGAATAGGGATAGTGAATATGTGAGAGAATATGGGACAAAAAAAGAATCATGTATTTTAAATTGATTCAGTTCAATTTAAGTTTATTTCTGTACCACTTTTCACAATAATTATCATTCCAAATAAGCATTTTCAAAACGAGCATGTTATTTTATTAGTCAAAATCAGAAAGAGTTAAGATTTTGTCAATCGTATGCATAGCTATCTTCAGTTATACAATATATTGTTATTCTTATATAAATGTATATAATACATTATAAATCTGATTATTACAATAACTAAGAACAGTTTGTGTATTAAAACTTAGAGTCGAATGGTTGGCTTCCTCTCTTCACAGATCTTGGACACAATGTAGAGCCCTCAGGATGGGCATAAATAGAGGGCAAAAATTGCTTAGCTGCTCTTCATAATTTATTTAAACAAGACATGTTAATGTCAATGAGAAAGACTGCATTTGAAGAGACGGTACCCTACAGTTTTGTGTTGCACTGTGCTTTACTAAACAGATCAGTCTTTAATCTAGTTTTGAACTGGGAGAGTGTGTCTGAGCCTCGGACGTTATCAGGAAGGCTATTCCAGAGTTTAGGAGCCATAAAGGAGAAGGCTCGACCTCCTTTACTCCACTTTGCTATTCTAGGTACTACCAGAAGCCCTGAGTTTTGAGATCTTAAAGAGCGAGTTGGTTTGTAGCGAGACAGAAGGTTGGTTAGATAAACAGGAGCTAGATTATTTAGAGCTTTATAGGTGAGAAGTAATATTTTAAATTCAATACGAAACTTAACAGGCAGCCAGTGTAAGGAGGAGAACATTGGGGTGATATGATCATATTTTCTAGACCTGGTCAGAACTCTGGCTGCTGCATGTTGCACTAATTGAAGTTTGTTAATAGAGGATGCTGGGCAGCCAGCAAATAGAGCATTACAGTAATCCAGCCTAGAGCTCATAAAAGCATGGACTAGCTTTTCTGCATCTGAGATGGATAGCATATTTCGTAATTTAGCGATATTTCTCAGAAGGCAGTTTTTGAAACAAACTCTGATTTCAACAGCTATGAATATCAATCAGATCAAACTATAATAGTAATACCATTTAGTAATAGTAATACCATTTGAGTGAAGTAAAAAAAAAAAAAAAAAACATTGTTTGAGCTGTTCACCTGCAGATAATTTATTGTTTCAACTTCATTTTAAATAAAGTTAAAGACTAGCTTTCTTGAGATTATAATGGAACATTAAAGCTCATAACAAAAATGCACTTTTCACTAGTCTGCTCAACATATTCTAATTTTACTGAAACATAGTCAATATTGTACAAGCTTAAACATTATATTTTTTCATAAATAAAAATGACTTAAGTTACAACTTCAGGTGAAATCAGCTGATATAAAACATGCAATCTTTCAAAATCTCAACAGAGGATCTTTAAATAACTCAACAAACACTATCAGCAGTTTCACTTGTTAGACTTTATTTCTGTCAGACATCTACAGACGTCCTGTCACAACCCTTGGCTGTAATGCCCATGTTGAACACTACATACAGTATGCACTCTAAATCCCATGTTTCTTTGCTTTCTTGATTTCAGCTGCATGTCGATATCATTTTAAGTTCTGTACGTATTTATTCTGTCTCATGCTTTTGTATTTTTTTTCTTCTGCCCTCCTGTTGGGAGTTTTTTTTTTTTATTCTTGTATAAGTATTTTTCAAGTTTTGCCCTGTACTTTTCGTGAGTTTTGTTTATAATCACCTGAATTACCACTTTCTTTAATTAAAAGCTGCTTTACTCATCCCATTCTGTGAGTAATCCTCAGTCACATTTATTGAGAACCAAAAGTTTTAATTAATTTTTATTGAAAATAAATTATAGAAGTCACCATTGTGGCTTTACACGGTCTATTTGATTCTTCATTTCTTATGTTAACTTCTCTGTTTGCTGACACAAAATGTATTTTGGCGAGACTAAGTACAGTTATGTGATTATGTACAGTTAAAAAGGGATTAGACATCCAATTTTTAAAATAAGCTATAAAAATCTGGTGAATTGGTACAAGATATCAGGTTGTGAAGTTGTGTATTGTCAGCATAACAGTGGAATCTAATAATGTGTTTTTAATGATATCTCCTAGTGGTAGCATATATAATGTGAACATTAAGGGGCCAAGAACTGAGCCTTGTGGTACCCCACAGTGTAATTTTGATATGTATGATGCCTCTACATTTACTGATACAAATTGATAATGTTCAGATAGATCAGATAATTAGATAACATTGGATAATTAGGTGGAGCAAAGCCACACCACATGCAACTTGATCTTCCATTGTTAAATTAATTGGATAAGAAGTGCGTAACATTTTCACACTAGAAAGCATGTTTTATGCAGGAATGTAACTGACATGCTGTAATGGCTCCTTTAAATACGAGATCAATGTAGGGAGTTTTGACGCTCTCATCGCTGGAGCTGAAGGCAGACAATGTTGTCATCAGGGCGGCCAAAGCAACCTTTGATGCTCTCACTACCTTTAGTGTGAACGCAGTAAGGAGTGCTGTTTCTGTACTATGACATATAGTAAATATAACTGTTTTTAGTAAATTTGAAAAAAAAAATTAGTCTAGTCTAGTTTCTCAATCTACCTTGAGAAAAGACTGATTTGAAATGGGTCTGTAATTTAGAATTACACAGTTTGGTTGATTATAGTTCAGAGACACTCTTAAAGGGCCATGACACCCCCCCACTTTCGGTCAAAGTCTACTTCAGAATTTTTTCAAAAGATGCATGATTAATGGGCGTGGAGCTCCGCGAGCATCGGGCAGGAGTGGGCGTGGCCAGCAGGGGAGAGAACAACTGCTGTTGACAGTTAGCTCACAACATGAGACACAAACCGTGAGGAGACGCATGAGTTTATAGTTTACAAAGTTAAAATGCAAAGAAATAAACAGTAATTTAATGCCCTGCTACATTTGTTATTTGTAATTTCATATACACATAACCACAATTTATATCATTATAAAGATAATCGTGTTCATGTAAACCCTATAAATGAGGATTCTCTCTCGATCCCCGGGTCTGAATCATAGATCTGAATGCAGACTCAGTGCAGCAGGTCTCCTGACCTGTCTATTTTAACCATTAGCCCTGCTGGTAATCTGGAGGATTTAGACAGACACAGCAGCACAGTGATGTGTCTGAATGTGAACGAACTCCTGATAAAAGTCAACGTCCGCCATTCTTCAATTCGCGTGCTGCTCTCCCGACAAAAATGCTTGCAGCACACACACAGCTTTGCTGTATGATCGGCCTGACAAGATCGCGGGGAACAAACATGCAACAAACCCCGTGGATGATGGAAACAAACACATACGAGCCTTCATGAACGGCTACTGCGTGCCATGGGTCCGTGACTCCGTGTCTCACAGCTTGCTAGAAACTGGCAGGTCTGTCTTGCCTTCGGAATGCATGTGCTCTCATGAATAATTAAGCAGGCTCTTCTCATAGGATAAGAAAACTCCGCTATGAATAATAATGAGAAACCGACGCGTCATCATTGCACTTGCAGTACTGCGATTTGTCGCCGATTTTGATCCCGCCCCAAAAATCATTTAAACCCGGAAACTGAAATTAGCTGACAAAAGCTCAAAATTATCCAGTTTTCCCCATAATTAAAGCTGACAGGTGCTAACATTGTCTTAACTGATGCTTAACACTAACAAATCTGTTAATATATAAAAAAAGTTATCCAGGGTGTCCTGAACCTTTAAAAATAATTTAATAAATGAATAATACAAAGACCATTTGGCAACAAAAGTCACTTTGCCTTCATAAAGTATGGATTGTGTTGTATTGTTGCCCACTCATTCACTCACACACATTCCCCTACAGCGCATGTGTTTGGACTGTTGGGGAAACCAGAGCACCCAGAGGAAACCCACACCAACACGGGGAGAGCATGATAACTCCACACAGATATGCCAACTGACCCAGCCAGGGCTTGACCCGCTGCACCGCCCCATTATAGTAAACTACTTATTAAGTTAATTTACTTTGACTAAGTTATGTCTAAGACTGAAAGAGTACTATTGAATCTAGCATAGCCATATGAACAAATAAAGTACATTTAAGCACACACTCAGCAAAACTGTGGAGAAAGTAAAAACACAAACTACATCTTTCAACTGGCAAATCCAGATTCCACCATCCCCAGAATAAAAAAAATGATGTGAGTAAACACAGATTTTGCTTGAGTGTTATTAGGTGACAGCAAGTCAACAGCTCACACTGACTCTGCTATTGTTGCAGGGAAATGGAAATGTTTTTTTGCATGTGTGTTTGCACACTTAGAAACAAAGCACTAATAAGCCCATGTCTCTGAACAATGACACTGTAAGAGGTAAGAATTCAATTCAATTCAGCTTTATTTGTATAGCGCTTTTACAATGTAGATTGTGTCAAAGCAGCTTCACATAAATGGTCATAGTAACTGGAACAGTGTGGTTCAGGTTTTAGTGTTTAAGTTCAGTTCAGTTCAGTTTAGCTCAGTTCAGTGTGATTTAATCATTACTGAGAGTTCAAACACTGAAGAGCAAATTCATCGATGCGCAGCTCTACCAATCCTGAACCATGCGAGGCAGTGGCGACAGCGGAGAGGGAAAAAAAACTTCACCTGATGGGAGTGAAGAAAAAAAACCTTGAGGGAACCAGACTCAGTTGGGCACGACCATTTTAATTTCTCCGCTGGCCAAAAGTCTTGTGCAGAACTTCATTCATCGTGGTTTAGGCTGGAAGATGGCCTCAGCGAAGACTCGTCTGTCCCTGGAGCGTCACTGGAATCAGTCTCATGTTCTCCACTCCCCACGACCATCAGCGCAGCAGAAGCTCAGGATATGGCTTGGTCCCGGATATGGAATCCTTGGGATCATCACGTTGCTGGTCTTGGATCCGATCAGTGACTCCGCATAATCTGAGGACCTCGGGATGAGTATCCCCAGGTGAAAATAGAGAATAAAGAGAATAATTAGCGTAGCTGCTGTTCATAGTGTATATAAGCAAGATGCAGAAGCCTGTGTGGAACCCGCTAGGTGATGCACTGAG